TGTGTGTGTGTGTGTGTGTGTGTGTGTGTGTGTGTGTGTGTGTGTGTGTGAGAGAGAGAGAGAGAGAGAGAGAGAGAGAGAGAGAGAGAGACAAAGAGAGAGTGAGAAGAGAGAGAGAGGGAGCAGGAAAGTCTCCAACCTGGCAGCTGGCCTCTTCGTACTTTATGTTAAATAGCCTTCTATGAAAACAGAAAGGTGCCACGCAATGAGTTTTTTTTTCAATTTTTTAAAAACCAAATTCGTGTTTGACTCATCTACGTGGAGGGTAGGGGTAGACTCCCCACGATATGATTCTCTTTTATTGTGTGTGTGTGCGCATGGCGACGGGCTTGAGATTTCATCRTCGACCTGACAAGCCCAGCCYCATTRRTCGAAATTATTTCATCGCGGAACCRAATGWGTAGTCTCGTTGGTGCACAGGATACCCCGGCCTCATAAGGACGCGCCGTCGAAGTGCCGATCAGCTCCCCTGACCTTCTTCACGCACGACTCGGTGCGAGTATAAATAGCCCTGAGCGGCGTGAAAATAGGGCGACAGGGCACAGAACGCTCAAGGCAGTGCAGATCCGTCGTACCTCAGTTATATTGAACTGTCACCATCGCCAACTGTCGCGACGGCTAGAAACTCTCTCTCTCCCATCGTCACCAAGGAGGGACCGAGTTCGCTACGAACCACAGAGAGAGAGAGAGAGAGAGAGAGAGAGAGAGAGAGAGAGAGAGAGAGAGAGAGAATGGTGGGGAAGGGGAATAGCCCGTTGAAAAGGGCAACGGGGTTGGTGATGCTCGGCTGCTTGGTGATGGTGCTATGCTGTGGAATAAGCGTGGAGGCTAAGTGCAAGGCGTGTCCGTGGAAATGTGGTGCCTGCCTTACTTTGTATGCTCCAGTCTGCGGATGTGACGGTATCACGTACTCCAACGCCTGCGTTGCTCATTGTCAGTGCATCGACAAGACGACGCCCGGAGCTTGTGTACCACGGCCGACCAAACCGTAATTCCTGCTTTGCGGTGTGCGAATGCATCAACAAGTGCTTCTCGGAGGGAGAATGCAAACCCAAGTAGTCAGACTCTGTCGGAGTACTTCTCGGTTCATATGGGAAATGCAAATCCAACTGAGCCGTGACAGTGGTATGTGGCCACTGGAGCTTTTCGCGTCTCTCTTTCTTGAAGTACCTGGTGATGGACAGTGGACTATAAAGACTGACTTAAAGTTTGACTGTATTAGTTCGGAGCGAGTTATGGGTTTAATATAAAGACGGACTAAAAGTCTGACTGTATTAGTTGGGAGCAAGTTATGGTTTTAACGGATGCTTCATCTGACTGATGATAATGAGCTTCGCCTGACAGTGTGTTTGTAACTTTGTAATGCGGTTGAATGTGAGGAGGTAGTAGGACAAACTTCGGACAAAGCGTGGCAGAGGGCACGGAGCTCAGCTATCTATGACTTCTACGTTGTTTATGTTCGATTGGAATGATGCAAGTTGCTTTCGTTCGATTGTGAAAACGTTTTCTCTTCCTCTTCTTCAGGAATCAGAATCTCCTCCTCCTTCTTGTTTGTTTCTTTCCTTCTTTCTTTCTTCTTCGTTTCTTGGTTTTCGTTGTCTTCTTGCTTCCGAGCTGGCAGTCCATTCAAGAGCTCACAAAGAGTAGTGCTTCACTAAATCGAGGGAAGGTCTCCACGAGCGCAAGACAAAGAAAGGGGAAAACGAACGCGGAAAGCAAATAAAAAAAGGGGAGAAAAAGAACTTAAAGGGGAACAGGGGACAAGATGGGAGAATTCGACGGGCATAGCTCAGTTCCTACACCCACAAACTGTTGGTCCAGAAAAACAGACCCAAGTTCGAATCCATAAACAGTCAGATGACCAGATTCAAATAGTTATGAATTACCCTTTGTTGGTTCAAAAATACTCGGCGTCCGACCTTTCAGGAGGCCGAACCAAACAGAAACGACGGCCGCCTATCAGATTGATCAACGTCGGGCTCGGCCTCCGGAAAGTTTGGGAGCTGGCAAGTACTTGTCGAGACCGGAGGCCAAAGTACTAGTGCTAGAAGGAACCCAAAAAAAAAAAAAAAAAAAAAAAAAAAACAGTTTGCGAAGTAATATATGCCAAAATGCCCCTGAGAGATGTGGGTAGAGCGGAATGCCCTTCTGGGCCGAAATGTTTGTGTTATGCCCCTGTCAGGCAGGTGTGCAAATTTGCGATCTGGACCTTGCCGTTTGGGCATGGCCGGCCTCAGGAAAGTTGCTACGTTCTGGGTATTTTGCAAAGTTGGATGGTGCCTGGCAGGGTTACATTACAAAGATGGGGGGTCCAACCGACACGAGGGGTATTTCACAAATTTTTCTTTTTGTCAGAGGGGCATCTCGCTGTACCCACATCTTTCAGGGGCATTTTGGCACATATCTCAACTTATGGGGGTATTTCGTAAATTATCGCCCCCCAAGAAAAGGGATAAAATGGAAAAACGTGACATCAAAACAAAGGGCCGATCACGAATAAGTTCCGTCAAAAATTTGTGTTTTCTTACGGTAATGAATGATGCTCCGTCACAAATAAACCCGTTTCTTTTCCGCTAGTTTCGTGACAGACTTACCGCCCTTTTCACGTGCATGCACCTAGGAGGCCAGGACCTGTTGTAGGACCGGTCGGCCACTGAGTGCTTAGCCCCAAGCACTCAGGCGAGAGGCCCTCGCTACCCTGCAACAGGCCTGCATCACGACGGCCTTGATGTATCACCATTCAACTGTTATACCAAACATACCACGCCAATGTCGCCAAAACGTGGTGCGGCAGCCTGGAAGGTGGTCTGTAAACATAGTCACACAAGGACCAAAAGTCTCAAAATTTTGAGGCATTTGTGTAGGCCTAGGGTCTCGCTGCGCTACTCTCCACTCTCTGGGAAATCGGAGAGTACGCGGAGAGTTGTCACTATTGTCGCAACCACCACCATCAGATCAATTGTGATCTGATTGGCTTAGAAGCACTCTGCCATGATTTCTGGTGGCAGGTCTCTGTTTCTTCTTTTTTTTTTTGCCTTTCTCCTGTTTTCTCAGCCCTGAAATTCGTAATGAACCTGTCAGGCCGCTGCCACTCGGTGTCACAGTGGACCTGCCACACTCCTACCCGACTGCTAGTGGGACCACGCCCCTGGAGTGCTCTTCCAAGTCTTCTCTTTTCTAGGCTCCTAACCGTGCGACCAAAGCCACCCCCAGTTTTGTTTTCTTTTTCTTTTTCCCCCTCAAAACAACCACAGCTCTTTTTTCGGCCCGCCCTCCCACAGAGTAGGGCACTGGCCACGGACTGGTTCGGCGAGGGCAGCTCAGAGGTACTGGCGGTTACACCTCAAGGCCATCGCCCTACCACCAGTACCCCGCCCAGGCAAAAAAATTGCCTTCCTGAATTCATGGAAGAGCTCAGCAGGGTCGGTAGAGGCTGGGCAGAGCCTCGGCCTGTGCATACCGCCGTACGTATATGGCCCGTACGTACGTACGGGCCCCCCGGCGCCCGTACGGCCCGTACGTACGGACTTCGGGCCGTCCGTACACGGCCTTCCAGGGGGGGTCGGGTGTCAAGAGGTACCCCCCCATTCAAAACAACAGTAAAAAAATAGATGTTTTTTTTTTTTGGGTCCCGGGTGAATTTTTGTTTTTGTTTTGATTGATTGATTAATTCGTTGATTGATTGATTGATTGATTGTTTGATTGATTGATTGATTGATTGATCTAGCGTGAAAAAAAAAAACAAAAAAAAACAAAAATAAAATCCATTCAAAAGATTGATTGATTGATTGATTGGCAGTGGGGGGGTCGCCTCCCCCCCGTGAACACACACACACACACACCCCCACACCCACACACACACACACCCACACACACACCCA